AAAATTAATAAAATAAACAATAAAAGGTGAATCAAATAGACCATTACGGCAAAGCTGGGATGGTCAATTTGGTAAAGTAAATCCGTTGGGCATCTTTCTTCGCCTTTAGACAATAATTCTGATGGCAAAAGAACCAAATGGGACATGCAAAAAAAAAAAAAGAATGCCTGCAGATCTTCATCTTAGACAATATTACATTCCTGGCTTGTTTCAGAGCAGCTTGCTGAGTCTCAGAAACTAATGTGATCTCAAACATCAGGATCTAAGTTAGATTTGTCATTTAGAAATGATCAACTTAAACACTGGACAGAAAAGTGTCAGCAGATCTGTCAGTATTCCAGGCAGAGTTTTGAGTAAGTGTGTGTTTGTCTGTTTTTGCACGTGTGTTTGAAACTCGAATTCATCTCACTTTCAGTTTACTCACCAGGTTTACTGCTGGAATCTGTGGATGCTGCAGGTGTTTGGTCCTGACTAGGTTCATCCTTGACTTCTGACGTAGTTTTTGACATCTCTGTGAAGTGATTATGGTAAAATGATAAATAAAATATCACAACCCTAATGAAGCGCCTTGAGGCGACTTATGTTGTGATTTGGCGCTATATAAATAAAATTGAATTGAATTGAATTAACAGGGCGATACGGAAGTGTAGAGCTGCCGCCCAGGCAAAAGAAAAATAGAGCTATATCACGGTTATAACGTGAAAAGTTTATTGTTCTAACAATATACTTTTCATGTTTGTACAATATTCTATCATGTTATTACAATATGCAAAACTTTCACGTTCGTACAATATAAATATTATATTGTACGAACGCGATGATTATGTGTATTGTAATAACGTTGTAATAATGTGATCAAACAATTATGTGTGTTTGATCACATAATTAGTTAGTTTTTTCCCCTGATTTTATCCACCTGCTTCATTTTCATCATCTGCGGACATCAACTCGTTTTCATTGTGTATCTGAGGAGCTGTCACTACTGAAAACAGAATCACAGTACATATGAGACACAGCAAACGTTCTGTTCACTTCTAATGAACACAGGAGGCATTTTTGCTCGGCCTGCAGGTCACAGATCCGTCCAGCTAAACCTGCAAATTCTAAGGCTCATACAGGTCGATGCTACGGTCACAGCTTTGATGCTACTTTTAAAAAAACAAACAAGTTATACAAGATGAAGTGATTGCATGTTGCAAATGTGTTATATATTATGAAAACATTTTGCTCACCATTGTTGGGTGAATTTAATGCTGGGACCACAGAGGACGATGATGTTCCTTGGACTGACAAATCTGGTGTTGGAAGAAATATCAGGACCTTAAGCATCCATCACCTGCTGTCACATTTACTTTATTATTGTTTTTACCCCCATTAAATAAGATTTTACTCACCTGCTCCATTACTCTGTATCCCAACCAATTGTACCATCTCTGTCAGATATTAAATGAAATGTATGTCATGAACAGCACATTAACTGATAAACTGGTGTAAAGTCTACTATACTGCTGCTGGTGATGTTGCATTTTGTTTTAACTTCAGTGTCACTGTAGTTCTGTAAGGACACAGACGTAACACAACAGACAAATGACCCTAAAACAATGTTCAGCCCGCAACACTTTTACAGCTTTACTGTTAACTGCCAGCTTAATCTATGAGATTATAGAATCATTTATAGTGAGATTAGTTTCTTCTGACATAGTCTAAAACAGGCCAGTGGTGGAAGCAAGCAGCAAAAACAATGCTTTACTCATATGAAAGACATGCTGTCTGTAAGAGCAAACTAATCATTATTGAGGGTCTGTTTCAGCAAATATGCTTGGCCTGTTTTAGGCTGCTGGGCCCAACATGTCAGCAGTTGGTCAGTCAACTGGCCTAGCAAACTTCTTTTACTGTTCCCAGACCAGTGGACCCTGTCCCATATGTCTTAATAAATCCCAGTTTTAACACCACCACCTAATATAAGTTATAGAGAGGCTTTATACTGTATGATCTTACCTTCTGGTCTATTTGCTTCGTCTTGTGTTTTGATTTCTGGGGAATTGAAGACAAATGGTAAATGGCCTGCATTTGTATAGCTCTTTTCTAGTCCCTAAGGACCCCAAAGCGCTTCACACTACATTCAGTCATTCACCCATTCACACACACATTCACACACTGGTGATGGCAAGCTATATTGTAGCCACAGCTGCCCTGGGGCGCACTGACAGAGGCGAGGCTGCCGGACACTGGCGCCACCGGGCCCTCTGACCACCACCAGTAGGCAAACATGGGGTTAGTATCTTGCCCAAGGATATTTGGCATGCAGCCAGGAGGTAGCCTGGGATCAAACCACCGACCTTCTGATTAGTGGCTGACCTGCTCCGCCACCTGAGCTACAGCCACCCCATTTATTGACATTTATTGATTGACAGAAATATCAATCAATGCTTGTTTTGCGATTTTAGCTTATTTCTTTGGGGTTATTGAGCTCAAACACATATTATGAGCAAAGGATGCTGTTACTGTTTTAATGTTCAGCTTTTCATCTACATGAAGTTAAGAGGAAATTTACCCTGGTTTGTTTTCATCCATCAGTCACATCTTTGAAATTGGCTTTGAAATGTGTTTCTGTTGAATACATAAAGACGAAGTCTAATAATTTGGAAGATTTTTGAGCCTGGGAAGTTGTAGATAGAGATGTTTGCATTCAGCACTATTAAAATTAGCCTAGAAATTGTGCTTATAATGAACCTACATACAAGTGTGACTGGATGACTTTGATACAGAAGAAAACACACAAATACGGCAATTTTCACCAATTCTGTTATATCCTGAGACTAAATCTGTAAGTAAAATACACGAGTCCTAGGTTTATCACACTATCTGTAGTACAGGCTTGTCTGGGTTGTTTCTTTAACATGTCGAGATATTTTATTAACACTTTCTAATATGGCCCTATAATTCCTCTGTAATTATGTGGACTTATTTTAAATTACAAAGTAATTATTTTTACCTAAACATACTTAAAACTAGGCACACTAGAATAAGTAACATTTACAATAAACAAAGAACTAATTAGAAAAAAAATTATACTGTTAGCATAGTGTGCAAGTAATTTCAAGTCATTTTACAAAGTGCACGACTTCAGGTGTTTTACAGGAAGGAGACACATTGTTCTCTAAGTAATTTAAAGTACTGTGTAATTTTTTGGTAATTTTGTGGCAAAACAATATTTTCCTATCTTATTGTAAGTACACTGTGCTTTTATAATGGAGAGTCTTAACCTCACCTAACATTCATCATGCACATTTGCATAATGATTAATAAATCAAGATGTTAAAAAGAAAGTAAGATACATAATTGTTTTGTGAGTTCTTACCTCGCTTTCTGTATTTTTTGCAAAGAAAAAAGACAATTACAGCCACTATCAACACAAGCAACACAATCACTACTGGTATGATCCAATGCAGTGAATCACCTACAAAAATAAAAGAACAAAGAATAAATTAATAAAACTGCAAATGATTACCAAAACAATTTATCCCAATCTTTAAATGTCTGTAAAATCCATCATTAGTCAAAAAGAAACACTTTCTGCCACGGATACATATTGGTGTGATAACTCACCACTTGCAAATGAAATGATTATATTGTCACTCCTTTCACTGCTAACTGGGTTTTCCAGCTGACAGCTGATTGATTTTTCAACAGATCCTGTATCGTTCTAGAATTAACGAGAAAAGAGAGAAGCACATAAACCAAACACATTCATTAGATTTTAAACAGATTATGGGACACTTGTCTATGGGTGGACAATCAACAGATCAATAGCACAGGGACAGGCTCAAAGATGGCCGCATACATCCTGATAAATGTAACTATATTTCCAGAAAATACAAAATAAAAGTGCGAGACTAACCATTTCCATTCACTTTTATTTTAGTTTATCGCCAATATCAAAAAAGGAGAAATAAATAAATAAGATAAGATAAGATACCTTTATTAGTTCCACGAATGGGACTAATTCCCCTCCAAACACCTTCGACGCTTATTCCTTTCCGATGCAGACGGTGGATCAAGGAGACCAGCGCATATGCTGCAGGCCCGGATGCACTGTCTACACTGGCTGTCTCACACCTTCTACCCATCCCTGTTGCTTGTCATGTGTTTCTATGACGTATTAAGAGTTTTTTTATGTGCTATGTGCAGAGGTGTTTTTTTTTCTCTTCTCAAACTGTTCTCCCTGTTGGAGCTCAGTCTGGGGGGAGTTATTTCCTCATGTTTTCCATTGTTATACCTCTCTGACCTGTCTTCCCCATGTGATGTTTTTGCGTAATGTATGTATGGTCGGAAGGGTAAGATGGCGCCGCCATTGCACTGGCAGCCTTATGAAATTTCCCATTCGTGGGACTAATAAAGGTATTTTAAATACATCTGTCAACAAATCACCCATGTCCAAATAAAGACACAATTTCTTTAGAAATATTTGCAATTGTCAATGATATCCTTAGAGTTACACACTGTCTATATTTTATTCGCATTTAGTCTCAGCCCGAAACACAGACAGATATTTTTGTCTTAACTTAAAATGACTACATTCATGTCCATGTTACCCAAGCTCCGAAGTTAACATAAACGTTTAAAATAGTCATAAAATCTGCATGTAGCTACTAGGATATCAAAAAATCAGCATCTAAACCTTAAAAAGTGGAATGATTTAAACTATACACATAATTTTGCAGTTGGAACTCTCGCTTAAATATTCTGCACTTTATAAAAAGATTAATTTTAAGCATTTCATAATACCAGTTTTGCCTCAAGATATCAGATATCCTCGTCTCGATTGCTGCTTTTATATATCTGGTATTCACCACTCCTGTATGTTCCCATAAATCATCTCAAACTGGTTTGCCACTAATCAGAAGGTCGGTGGTTCGATCCCAGGCTGCCTCCTGGCTGCATGCCAAATATCCTTGGGCAAGATACTAACCCCATGTTTGCCTACTGGTGGTGGTCAGAGGGCCCGGTGGCGCCAGTGTCCGGCAGCCTCGCCTCTGTCAGTGCGCCCCAGGGCAGCTGTGGCTACAACGTAGCTTGCCATCGCCAGTGTGTGAATGTGTGTGTGAATGGGTGGATGACTGAATGTAGTGTGAAGCGCTTTGGGGTCCTTAGGGACTGAGTAAAAAGCGCTATACAAATGCAGGCCATTTCTTGAGCATAACAATGAGTTCACTGTACTCAAATGGCCTCCATAGTCAACAAATCTCAGTCCAATAGAGCACCTTTGTGGGGACAAATCATGTCAATATGGACTAAAATGTCTGAAGAACGATTCCAGCACCTAGGGGAAGCTATGCCGGGAAGGCTCTGAAGACAAAAAAGGATCCAAAACAATACTGGCAAAGTGTACCCAATAAAGTGACCCTGACTTCATATCCTAGGTATGAACTGATTGTTTATTAAACTACATGCACCAAAAACGCCTGAGGGTCTGGACAAATATTAAAAAAGCATGTTTACAGAGTTGGGGAGTAACATGTACTGCCGATACGTATTTAAAATACAAAATATGAGTAACTGTATTCCGTTACAGTTACCATTTAAAAAGGTGGCATTCAGAATACAGTTACTTTGCTGAAATAAATGGATTACACAGCGGTATTTTCCTGTTTCATATTGTGGCGGGTCAGGACTGTTGGGGTTTTTTGACAGCTACGTTCTGTAGCGTTACAGTTGCCATGGTTACAGGGTGGCATGCTCTCTCTCACTGTGTGTTTCCTGGGTGAGAGAGCGCCTTTTTGTTGTTGTGCTAAACTAATAAGCAGAATGCTACAGGCATAGCCCTAAAGAATGTAGCATTATGGGCAGTGTAGTCCGTGCTGCAGGGAGAATGGACTGCCATACACGTTATGTGTCTGTGAGCGTGAGGAGGGAGAAAAAGGAGAGTGGAAAAGTACGAGCAGTCATCAAGCAAAAACGGGAGCTGGAAGCATGTAAATATAATAATAACCACTGCAGCCAAGAAGAGTGCCTGACGAGCCCAGTTGTAAGTAAGCTATTAAGACTCGACTGTACACTGTGTTCGTGTTTTCCTCCGAAAACAACAAGTTCCGTTCGAGCAGCCTTTCAACGCCTCTCTCTGTATCTCGCTAGCAAAGTTGACCCACACAACAAAGTAAAGCTATTTTTCGGCTAAGAGCCCGACACGGAACCCGGCGTATTAGTCAGAGGTCCCTTTAATAATAATAATAATAATGGATTGCATTTATATAGCGCTCTCACATTCACACACTGGTGGAGGCAAGCTACAGTTGTACAGCTGCCCTGGGGCAGACTGACAGAAGCGTGCCATCGGCCCCTCTGGCCAACACCAGTAGGCGGTAGTGACCAGGACACAGAGAGCTCAGGGAACGAACCGGCGACTTTCCGGTTACAGATGCGCTTCCCAACGCCCTGAGCCACGGTCGCCCTGAGCACCTTTACTACGGTTCGGAGCCGCGGACCTTCAGTAACAGTAATAAATCACACAGGAATAGTACATTCACGTTGTAAAAAGCATGATAATATATTAAGTAATCCAAAGTATTCACAATACGTTACTCTCATTGAGTAACGTAACGGAATACGTTACAGAATACATTTTGGGGCATGTATTCTGTAATCTGTAGTGGAATACATTTTAAAAGTAACCTTCCCAACACTGCATGTATATGTATAATCTAGGTAAACTATTTGAGTAGTATAAAACAGAGATTATGTTGTTCACTGTGTTTTAAAATATGCTGGTACATAGAAATGTGTAAATGTAATTATCGTTGTTTGTGTTGGCTTTGTTTTAATTTTTGATTTCTTTTAGTTTTTAAGAGTGGCTGTTTCAGCTAGTGTGTGAAAAGTAGAAAAATGTGTTTTATTTACTTTTCTAGTGTTTTGTGTTTATTTTTTGTGGTCATTTATTTACTCTCATTGGTTATGTTTTGTTATTGTCATTTTCCTAAAACTTTAAATAATGATCAAAAATCTCAATTATCTTTTGATAATTGAGATTTTTGAGATGAGTGAAACAAAAACAAACAAATAAATTTCCTTTTAATGCCTAAAATGACAAATGTACATAAACCTAAAAAAAAACTTTTTTTAATTGTTGAAAATATTTAGATTCATTTCTTTTTCTGATGTCTTAAGTTTTCTATAATGTGTTAGTCATTGCTTCAATACTGTGGTTTATGTGAGAAATTGTCTGGGGAAAAAAATGAGCAGCTGACTTGTTATGTGAACAGTCAGATCCTGTTTGTACCTTTGCTATTGTGAGCTGATTGCTTGAAGGCTGAGCTGTCTGCTTGTCACCTGTCATCCAGGAATAGGTGACTGGTTTGGTGTCATCTGTGATGCTGGCTTCACAGGTGAGAGTACAGATGGTCATCTCAGGGTTGCATGATTTGGAGACAGTGGGTTTGGGGACAGCAGCTGATAATTAAAGACAGCAAACAAACAAGCTTTTTATTTTAAATATGGTGAAAAAATGATTCAAAGCAAACTTCAGTCTGAATTCGCCCACTTACAGAGAACAGTGATTTTAGTCGGACTCATGACTCTGTTGTTGATCTCTGCTGTGTAGATGCCGCTGTCCTTTACAGTCACGTTTGAGAGGGTCAGCGTTCCAGTGGAAGTACTCACCTCACACCGACCTAAAAACATCACAGTTACATAATTAACCAATTAGATAATTATTTTTAATGGATTTTTAGTATGTATATATATATATATATATATATATATATATATATATATATAATGAACCAAGGTAACTCAATTATCCGTGCAGCATAAAGTTTAAAATGCATCAAATCCATGAAAGAGGTTAATTCATTACAGCACAAAAAAAAATTTTCCCACTTCATTTTGGGGATCAAGATCTTTTTTTTAATTAGAAATATATCTTCAAAAGAAACCTTGGATGCACAAGCTTGATTGATCCATATTCTTGATTTCGCACAGATTCCACACATGATGCCTTTCTGGACAGCCTTCCCATTTATCCAGGATCTTTCAAATCTGCAGCCTCTATCTTGCATGCATTTGATGTTAAATCCTGAGCATACGTACCTCTGAAGTCCCGGTACGGAACTATATCACTTCCGTACCACTCCACAGCGATGTCCGGGCCATGTTTCCACGTGATGCTGGTGATGGGATCAGACACAGAGCCTGGAGATAGGACTACTTTGTCTCCCACTTTCTTGAAACTATCTTTGTCTATGGCAAAATAAAACCAAAATCAACATGATTTTTCATATTTAGTTCTGTAACCAAACATTTTGTTTACAAAACTAATTTGCAGAACTAAACAAACACAGTTTAGCTGCATGTGTGGCATCTGCAAAATGCTGTAAAAGATGTTAATGATGATCCCAGTTTATATGGGAGAGCACTGTAAATAATTATATTTATCAGATTTTGTCTTTTTTACTTGCTTTCAAGCATCATCAGTAAAACATACTTACATTTTATTACATTTAAAAACATTTAAATGAATTAAACTGATTTCAATATAACAAATATAAGGTACGTTTGAATATTATTGATGGTTTTCTGGTGCTAAGAAATCCAGGGGATTGGAATTAATTGGCTGATGTTATCAAAAACAGCATTTTGATAACATCAAAACAATAACTGGAGCATAACAGGGAATACTGGAGTACAGCATACAGAATTGAATTACTGCAGATTTGTTACAAAATGTTTACCTCTGAGGGAGATTGACAACAAATCTTCCATCTTGTGCTCCTGTTTTGTTAATCTTAGAGTAAAATACTCCTTAATGTAGTTTACTTTTGAGTTCTATTCTTTTTCGGGGGTGTACTGGTAAGTTCACACAAAGGAACAATCCCATTATCGGTTCGTCAGACATTATAAAACATATATAACATCATAAAATCAATGTTACTGTTCCCTAAAACTCTCATGAACACATTCAAATATTTTATTTGACTTTCTGGGCGAGCGAATGAAACCTACAAATGACGGGATCGTGACTTTTGGAATGAATGACCTCAAAATGGCCGCTGCCGGGTGTTCCATCCTACCCAAAAGACCGGTTTTACCAGATTAATGCACCAGATTAATCGGTGCTGGACTGGCTGGTGAAACAGATGTGTCTGCTTTACAGACACCTCAGAAATAAATATGAAGAATATTTCAACTATTTCTGTGCTATTTTGTTTCACCAGCTATTTACCGGGCGTCGTCCTGAAGCGGGTTGTTGCGACATAACATTAAAAACTTCCATTTCACACCTATTATGTGTTAGCAGCACCTGGGAGTTAATGTTTATCATATGATAAATCATACTTGACTCGAACTCGTATGTTATTCTTCCACCAGTTAAAGTATACCTCATCTTACACTGTTAATAAACTACTGATAAAAAGTTCGTTTATTTCCGGGTTTGGCTCCAGAATAGCGATACATTCGTTTCACCATGAACACTCTCACCACTCCTTTACATTACCATTAACACGCTGGCGAAACGTAAATAACACTAGGAATAAAACATACACGGTTAGTATGAAGCTATGCGCCATTGTTCACCCCACTGAAAACCCAGTGTCCATCTTACCTGAAAGCACCAACCCCACGCTTAAGAGAAGAATTCTTAACCCCACGGATCGTAACATCCTCTTAAATCACGGCATAAACGAGACGAAGAACAAGAGAGAGTCGACTAATAATATCAGAGACAACTAGAGAATATTTAAACTGCGAATATATCAGAGAAGCGGAAGAGTGGGAAGCTAAACTGCGCCACTGACAAACCGAAAGTGAGACTTAAAAATATGAAACAAAACCTGTAGGGTGTGTCCAGATGTGTCCAGATGTGTCCGCCCCCCCCACAAAAACAAAAAAACAAAACAGGAAATCAAACTGGTCCACTGACCAAGGTCATTTTCTGAAGCACATTTCCAATAATGCAAATGTTTATAGGCCTATATCTACAAAAATATTTGAGGGCAAATACTTTACAAAATGTGATGTGATAACATGAAATATGTTTGCAAATAGCCACAGTTTGTACCAACTGTACTTTAATACATCAATGTTATACCACACAGTATATCACATAGACTTAGAGGGCTATTTAAGCTGATTATAAAGTTGTCAAAGTATTTAAATCCTGTCTCTTTGTCCTCACACATGAAGAAGGAACCTCTCAAGTTTGGCATTCACCCCAGTAAGATTTTACAAGTAAGATGCTTCTGGAACTTTATCTGTACAACACATTATGGACATTCATAATCTGACATAAAAAACATTGTAATTTTGCCCAAAGTGATTTTCTTTTTTTCCTAATAGAAATATCTCTGGCTATATATTCTTTTATTTATTACTACTATTTATTACACATAATATATACACATATATTTGTTTTGTTTTGGGTTTGTTTGTCCTCCGAAGCCTCCGTATTATTCTCTTCCTGTATTTCCAGGATTAGTTAAAGCAGACTTTTCTCCAGTGGTTTATGCAACACCAACTCTTCTTCATCCTCATCACAGTTTGATCCAGCACTGCTCTATCTCACAGTGTTGGTAGCAGTGGAGGAGCGGTGTCTTCGGGTCCTGCGGGTACAACAACTTTTTAGGTGGACAAGAAGAAAAAGACAACCAGTTAGAGCAGGGGTACGTCACAACGCAAAGCTGAAAGAAGAACTAAAATAAAATAAAATGGAAAAAGTCCATCAAATTAGATCTAAATAAAAATTATTAAGTGAGAACAATACAGTATAATAAAATAATGCTGATAAACTTGTACAGAGTAATCTTTTGTGGATTCTTACCAGCATTTACAACAAATAAGGCCAAACGGGAACACCAGAATCCATACAAATGGTAAACTCAGTAAAGCCCGATTCCCTAAGAAAAGTTTTAGAAAAGGAATAAATTAATTTTACAAGAATTATGTTTTCCAGTCTTTAAATACGTGCAAAATAAAAAAATAAAAAATAAAAAGATGCACTGCCACAGTCGCTGTTGTTTTTCATATATAAAATGTAATATTTAATCATATATAATTTGTTGAGCTGATAACTCACTGATTAAGAGTGGATTCAGGATTTTTTCACTGTATCCATAGCTGACTGGGTTTTCCAGCTGACAGCTTATCAAACGCTCTCTGTTTGCCTGCAAATGAAGAGAAAAAAGGAGCTCATAAACACACACTGCATTTTATTTAGAAATAAATGTCCTTGTTTTGTTTGCCACATATTGAATTTGACCATTTGCCAGTCACTGAATTTGTTTGTGGCGCTCAAATCTGTCAGAACTTTCCCTCCAACTTACTGACTTAATTTCCATGAAGCTAAAGATAATCATTTGATAGTCTGAATGTATTCATTTTCTGATTCTTTGTTTGAAACATGCACCCTAATTGTTTTGTTTGTTTGTTTGTGGGTATGTGTGTCTGTGGATTTTCGACGTGCCAAGATCGGTGTAAGACCCAAATGCAGACTCAAAAAAATAAGGCAAATATTACCTGAAAACGCACATTTAATGTGGTTTATTCTTCAGGAAATACAAAATTCATGAGGAGTTCATCAGGTTGTATACACATAGGGGATAAAAACAGCTGATCAGTTAGGTGTACAGTGGTCCCTTGCTATAACGTGGTTCACCTTTCGTGGCCTCGCTGTTTCGCGTTTGTTTTTGTTTGGTGTTTTTGGTGCAATTTTGCATGCTTTTTTTCCTTACAGCGCATTGAGTTCTGCGTCCTGATTGGCTGTAGATCATTGTCAATCAATCTCATGCTGTGTCTCCTGTCCAGTACAGAGTGCGTTCAGCTTGTCAAATTAACATAAATCTTCGATCTCTAGCAGTGTGACTCTGAAGTGCTGTACTGTATGTTTGTAAGTTTTCTCCCCAACAAACATAACAATGTTGACGGTTTGGTTTCATTATATAATACTGGACCTATTTTTCTACTAAGGTTTGAATTTTGAGAGTGTTTAAACAATAGAGAAAAGTGTGAAAATGTTCATGACTGTCTGAGAAAAGTGTCTAAAGTGTGTAGTGAGGGGTTTTACAGCCTTAAAACATCTATAATAATTGTAAAAAAACAAAGTTGGCTACTTCGCGGATTACACCTATATGGCAGGTTATTTTTTAGAACGTAACTCCCGAGATAAACGATGGACCGCTGTACTGCAAAGAAAGTTCAACACAGACAGGCTTTCTTTTGCTTTAGCTAGTTACAAAATGTAAAACTCCAACCAGAGATAACAGGTCATCAACTTTCTCTCTTTTTTTAATCGCTGCTGTTTGTTTCTCAAATGAAGGCTGCACACTGGTGGTCTGAAAATCTGGATAACTCTTCTGTCAGTATACATAATTCAGCATTTAAGCTGTTATCGTCTTTGGTCTATAAGTGTTTCCATATACAATATAGTATATATGTAATAAACTGAAGATTTTACTTGATGGTCACTATTGGTCTTTAAATAATGAAGGAAAAGCAAACGGGTTCTTTATACATTGTGTAAAGGCCAAATGCACGTAAAGCTGTGATAAAATGTCTTGAAACTATTTAGGTTTAAAAAAAAGTTTTGGATTCATTAGGTTTGGATAAAATGACAAAAACAACCAACAGAGCTGTCATGTGATTCAATAATCAGATCCTGTTTATACCTGTGTGATGTTGAACTGACTGGTTGGAGACTGTTTCACCATGTCACCTATCATCCAGTAATAGGTGATCGGTTTGGCGTCGTCTGTCACGTTGGGTTCACAAGTGAGAGTACAGTAGGTCATCTCAGGGTGGCACCATGTGGACACAGTAGGATTAGGGACAGTGGCTGGTAGAAAAGGGAGAAACCCAACAAGAATTTGACTTAAAATCAGGTGAACTAGTCCGTGCTAGCTAGAGTATGAATTCCTCCTCCCATTTACTGATAACAATGATTTCCGTTGTGCTCATGACTTCATCATTAATCTCCGCCGTGTAGCTGCCGCTGTCGTTTAGAGCCAGGTTTGAGATCGTCAGGACCCCAGTGGAGGTATCCACCTCACAGCCATCTAAAAGTATGAAGTGAAGGTATCATCGTGGATCATTTCAATATATTAGCACAGAAATTACCTTAAACTTCATAGTTTAAGGTGCTAACGAGTAGAAATTTACATCACTAGAATCCGATAGTTATTTATACCTCATAACGTTGTCTGTGAAGGTTCTCAGTCATCCAGGTCATCGTAGTCTAAGGAGCTTGCAAAGAAAAGCGTCTGGACTTCTTTAAGTTGCTTGAAGACGTTTCACCTCTCATCCGAGAAGCTTCTTCAGTTCTAAGGTCAAATGGTGGGGAGTCCCAGATATAAACCTAGTGGGAGTATCCCCGCAGAGGGACAAAAGGACCCCCTGATGATCCTCTAATCGCCTGAGCCAAGGTGTGAAACTGGATGTGGGTCCCAATCAGCCAGGGTTTCGGGTGAGTTCATTGTGAAACCTGGCCCCACCTTATCATGCAAATTCCTGAGGTCAGATGGCCCAGGATGTGAGTGGGCGTTAAGGCGTCTTGGAAGGGAACTCAAAACTGGATTATAGATGGCAGACAATTGGTGTCGTAAACCACTGCCTCTGTTCAAAGATGGTCGCTCACAGTGGACATAGATGGCTTCTTTCACTCCTCTTTCAAACCATCTGTCCTCTCTGTCCAAAATGTGAACATTGGCATCCTCGAAAGAGTGTCCTTTATCCTTAAGATGCAGATGGACTGCTGAGTCTTGTTCTGTGGAGGTGGCTCTTCTATGTTGTGCGCTTGTGCAGTGGCTGTTTGGTCTCTCCAATGTAGAGGTCTGGGCATTCCTTGCTGCACTGTACAGCATACACCACATTGTTAAATCTGTGTTTTGGAGTTTTGTCTTTCGGGTGAACCAGTTTTTGTCTGAGCGTGTTGCTGGGTCTGAAATGCTTGGATGTCATGCTTGGAGAAAACCCTCCTGAGTTTTTCTGATACACCGGCTACATAGGGGATGACAATGTTGTTGCGTCTGTCCTTCTTATCCTTCCTCGCTGGTGTCTGATCTTCTTTTCTGTGCCTCTTTGCTGACTTTAAGAACGCCCATTTAGGATAGCCGCACGTTTTGAGTGCTTCCTTTACATATGTGTGTTCCTTCTTTTTTCCTTCAGGCTTAGAGGGAACATGTTCTGCCCGGTGGTGTAGGGTCCTAATTACTCCAAGTTTGTGTTCCAAAGGGTGATGGGAGTCAAAGAGGAGGTACTGGTCCGTGTGTGTGGGCTTCCGGTAAACTGGTTTGAAAGAGGAGTGAAAGAAGCCATCTATGTCCACTGTGAGCGACAATCTTTGAACAGAGGCGGTAGTTTACCACACCAACTGTCTGCCATCTATAATCCAGTTTTGAGTTCCCTCCCCAGACGCCTTAAAGCCCACTCACATCCTGGGCCATCTGACCTCAGGAATTTGCACGATAAGGTGGGGCCAGGTTTCACAATGAGCTCACCCGAAACTCTGGCTGATTGTGACCCACACCCAGTTTCACACCTTGGCTCAGGAGATTAGAGGATTATCAGGGGGTCCTTTTGTCCCTCTGCGGGGGGGATACTCCCACTAGGTTTAAATCTGGGACTTCCCATCATTTGACCTTAGAACTGAAGAAGCTTCTTGGATGAGAGGTGAAACGTCTTCAAGCAACTTAAAGAAGTCCAGACGCTTTTCTTTGCAAGCTCCTTTGAATACCTCATAACAGTTTAAACAAAAAACCTACCCCAAAGAATCTTCTTAGCTTGTTAATGAAGGCTTAAATTACACACTCCTTGCAACCTCTAGTTGCTATTGAAAGATATTTTGTCTTTGGCCAGTTGAGTGTTTGCTGAAGGTCCCTGGATGTCCCTGGTTGAATACTCACAAAGAGGGTGCTCCACCACAAACCTCCTGGTGCCAGAAAATTAATTCTGTCCATCTTGGTGTAGCAAGTACAGTGGCAGAAACATTCACTCTCTCATCCAAGTGACTTCTTCAGGTCTTTTTCAGTGAAGTCACTGAAAAAGAGCGAAGAAGTCACTTGGACGAGAGACTTCTACTCACTGAATATGTTATGTTCAGATGAAAAGAATCAACTTGCTGGGATTTTCTTACCTGGATGATTAAGCAGGCATCAAGACTGCTTGTGATTGCTTTAGTCAACATCAGATTGACGTGGAAACCAATAGTTTGCATAAAGGCGGTGAATTGTCTGTGTGACTTAAGATGTAACTAACTTGCCAACTAACCACGCAGTGGAAGTCAAAGTTGAAAAAATGCAGATACTTTTCTGCCTTACCTGCAAAATCAACATGTTTCAAAAGCTGCAACATTTACTTTGAAGGCAAACAAGCTCTGTTTCCAGTTTGTGTCACACTTTTGAGTTTTACATCTGCTTGGGGCTGCTAACGACCAAACCAGTTGCAAGCAGGTTTTCAGTGGAGCACCAAACACCTCTTTTGCGACCAATTTCACCTTTCTACAGTCAGCAAATTCCCACAACTACTTGCCACCCAATCAGTCAGAGAAAACACATTTTTATGTGGCAACCGATGGTTGTCAGGCAGTCAACAACTAGTCTCTTGGTCTGCGTAAATATGTCCCTTAAAATATTATTTGAGCAAAGGTTTACGTTTATTTAAAGGTAGTCAGTACCAAAACCTTCATGTTTGGTGTAACTTCAGGGGTTAAATTAAAGGAAAGATTTAAGGATACTTTTAGGCTTCATAGTTTTACAATGAGAGTCATGACTTTTTTCTAAATACGCTACATACAAACATTAAAAATATGTAATCTGTGTATGTATATGGATTTCAGTCTTGAGTGAATGTACCTCGGAAGTGCCAGGAGGTGAAACGTTGTTGTCTGGTCCACTCCAGAGCAACATCTTGATCATGTGTCCACTTGATCCTGGTGATGGAAGCAGGCACAGAGCCTGGTGTGAGGACGACTTTGTCACCCACTTTCTTGTAGGCGCCTTCTTTCTCTGCAAAATCAACATATTAAGAGTTTCACATTCAATTCTTTAAATGCACAATTGCTTTAATTTACAGTTTGGTCTTATGCAATGTAGACATTCAGGCTGTGGGGGCAGCAGTATAAGTGTAGATGCTCAGACCTCCCTCTTCTCATCCACCTCCTCCAAGTCTTTTGAAAATACACTGAGGCATTTCCAAGAAAACTGAGAGAGCTTGGAAGGATGTCTACTCTGAGATCTTCTCCTGTTTGTATCTGTGGTTATATTCTTTTGGTAACTACCCACAGCTCATGGTCATAGGTGAAAGCATGGCTCGACCGGCCATCAGCAACAACTCTTCGCCCCAGTGAAAGCAGGAGATAATGAAGAGAATAGAATGACATCATTTGCAAACAGCAGAGATGAGATTCTGAGACCACCAAACATGATCTGCTCCATCCCTCGGCTGTGCCTAAAAATTACTTCCAGAATTAATGACAAAGGGGGTGGAGTCCAACACCCACCATTGTGAGCCAAGCTCTAACTGTTGATCACGGTGTGACAAAGTGGCTAGGACAGAATTCATTTGCCATTTGTCACTTGCATATATTGTTATTTTGTGTTCTGTTATCCTATAGTCTATCCATAATGCTTTAATGTAAACACAGCACATGTAACCTTGGCTCTACATACTATCCCGGGTCTGTTTGTGGTAGCATTGGTTATATTTATTTCATCTGTGCAAATGTACTGAAAGCTAAATGTCACTTCATCATTAATTGATTTGGATCTTTCATTTGTTTATGTAGTTTGGTTATACTTACCATTGTGTGTTCCTTTGAGCAGGTCCTATTTGTAAAACAGGTATGTGTGAAGGGCCGCCCCAGTACTTCCTGATTTTATAGGATATGATGTCACTGATCATGTCAATTGGGTGTAACCAAATGAAGGTGTGTTTATTTTGTGTAAAATTGTTTATTTCATTTAAAATATCCTCATGAGTCAGATTAGGTGAAGAGATTGACTTTTCAAACTGTTTAGTTGGGTGAATGAGTTTGTTAAGTGGAAAAATGATTTTATTCCTGTTTCTTTGTCTAGACTATGTTATTTAGTCTACCCTGTTTTCCCAATGATAGAGGTTAATGAGATCCAGGTGTGAGTGGAATTCTATATAAAGCA